TCTATTTTTTTTAATGTGAAATTCTTGAATTATATTATGTTACTAAATTTGATTAATTTACACAAGAATATTACAAACAGATACTTGAGTAGATTGGAGACCATATGGAAATTTAGCTTTTGATTACCTAAAAAATGAAATGACAAACCCCAAGAGAGTTAGGGCAAAAACCTATTAACATCATCTTCTCGTTCCTTCAATCTGACCTCAGACTCAGCTCCGGAGCTGGAGCTTCCCGGTACCCCGCCGCAGTTCCGACACCGGCTCAATTCCAGAATCTGACGGCATGAAGGACAGGACGAGTGGGAACCTAGCCACATGTCTATGCAGGGGACATGAAACCCGTGTCCGCACTGTGGAAGCACCCTGATTTCGTCTCCCGCGGCAAACTCCATCAGGCATATGGCGCAGTCGGTGAATTTCGTGGCGGATTCGGGGGAGAAAGTCTGTTTCGGTAGTGACTGGAGGGTCTTCTTCTTGAGGCCTTTTCTGGGGGGTGGAGAAGGGCGGGAAGGGGAGGCGCCTGCGGAGAGGCGGCGGAGCCAGGCGCAGCGAGCTACGGCGATGAGTCCCAGAACACATATTAGAGCACAGAGGAGGGCAGCAAGGATTACTACATAGTCAGAGTCGACGGCGGTGGTTTGCTGAGGCGGCGTCTCGGTGGTGGCCGAGGAGTTAGTGTCGCTTAGGAGCCGGAAAGTACGAGTCATGTGAATTGTGAAGAGAAGAAGAGATCCTTCTGAAGTGCCTGAACTGTTTGGTGGGGGATGTTATAACGTGGAGTGGAGGCTTCTTTTTATAGATAAAAAATGGTCCGTTGGTTTCATAAGTTGGATTTTGCAAATTCCCCCTTAGTAATTTTAATTTCTTTTATTAATACCCCTTTTTTATAATTATGACTCTGTGACCTTTGATTTCTAACATTAATTCACTTGCAACCCTGCAAGAATCCAAAAGTCTTGAATATTCGGTTTCACCACGGTAATAAATACCAAAATCATTTAGTTGTAATCTCACGTGATATCATAAATTTATAATTTTTATGTGTCATCATATAATTAATACTTTTGATTCAAAAATTAAGAGACAAGAAAGTACTGCTTTTTAATGTATAATTAAATTTTTTTAAAAAAAGATAATGATATGGATATAATTTTTTTGTATAATATTTTTATATAATTTTTACATGTCATTAAATAACTAGACACATTTTAATATTATAGGTCTTAAATAAATAAAAGACTTAATTATTTAAATGATACATAAGATTGTATTAGAAGGTGATACAAAAATGTTATCACTAAATAATTTTTCAAAAAAAATATTATTTAAGAACTCATTTATAATATTATATGAATTCATACACTGAATAATTTACATTATTATATTAAATTTATAATTTTACCTGACATGGTAAATGTATCATTGCCATTGTAAATATACTAGTCAGTAACAATTCAATACTTTATAACCATTGACTTGCCTGCAACAATGATGTTTTTTTTTTTTTCACTTCTCCTATCTTAAAAATAAAGTTCACTTTTTTTTATTTGTTTTCTAAATTTAGGATTTGAAGACAATTTACCATTAACTTATAATATTTTAAAAAAAAATAAAAGATAAAGAAAAAATTTTGTGATAAAATAATAATTAAGGTAAAAGAATAACAATAGGGAAAAAAATAATAGGGTTAAAGAAGGAAGAAAAAATTATCTATTTTAAAAAAAAATAAAAAAATAACAATTAATTTAAGATAAATTCA